TGGCATACAAAAAAAAAACGTAAATAATAAAGCACAAGTGATAAACAAATCAATATTTTAGATTTGCTACTATTTATGTTACTGTCTACATTTTCACACTATTATAAATTTATAATATCTGTACCCAATTTGAGCGATTTTTAATCATTTTTATGTCTTCGTCATCGTTCCTATTTAATATAGCGTTACTTTTAACTGAAACAACAAGGTTAAAAAATTTAACTAAAGAGATATGTTAAATGATTCAAAGTTAGTTTACTATTAATTTATTAACTGCATTCGGTAATATAAATGTGATTTACTTTGAAATTAAGGATTTCAACCATAGAAATGAATTAATTTACATTCATATGGAAGTTAAAAATATTAAAAGTATTATTTAACTCATAGCATTATTGCCATTACTCCTTTGATATCTAACGGTGTACTATGATTGATTGATACTCTTACTGCTTATATCTTATATTTTTCTCTACGCTATGTGCTTAAAACTGTGTTTCAAAATTCACTGTTAATGTTGGAAATTTATAGTACACTTTATAGTAATGTAAATTATATTATACAATTTATAGTACAATTTATAGTAATATAAATTATAAATTTTTAGCGCTGGCAGCGAATTTTGAACACAACCTAAAGCAAAGAAACTTTCAAACACATCAAGAGGAAAATGACTACCTAAATAACGAGATCCTTCGAAGACTTGGGTTTTATTTTAGAAAAACGAGAATGGACTTCGCAGAATTTCCGTCGACACATTCAAAGCTCGAAGATCACTGATCATGAAGCGAGTAGCACGAGAGGGATCAGCGTGTACCTCGTGAGTACTCTTAAATCGGAAGGCCGTCTAATTTTCCGCACGCGAGTAATCCGACGGCACTCGAATGAACTTGGACGAATCACAGAAAATGTTAATGAAGGAAGGAACAGGATGATTCTTGGAGATAGTTAGAAATGATCATCATGATGAAAAAGATAAATTCAATGAAGATTCTAATCGGTAATTGCGAATTGTTATCAACGTTTGCTCTACATCAAACAAAAATGTAACTTTAGATTAAATTAATCACAAATAAACGGAAACGGATGATTAATTATTATTATATTAAAATATGTCTAAAATATTCAATGAAAAAATGTAATTATTTTAATTATACTGATATGATATTATCAGTATAATTGTAAATATGTTAACTTTATTAATAAACTATGTGACCAGATAATCGAAAATTATTTCAATCTGAATGTACATACATTTTCAAATTTACATTTTGTATAATAAGTATTTTAATTATATAAACTTAATACAAAATAATTTAATTTTTTTGGGCATATAAAAATGTATGTTTAAATTAGCTTATTATCAAATACTTTTCATATTATAAATATTTAATAAGTTTGTAGGAAATCATGCATCTTGCCGCTCACTGATCAATAAGCAGTTCGAAGGCGTGACAATCGAAATCAATGTAGACGAGGTGTTCGAGAAAATTATTATCATCGTGCGCATTCTGAAAGCATGATTTTCGCTGTGCCACAACTCATCGACGTGTGATAAAGATTACGTAGGTATAGAATCTAATTACGCCGATAAACATTGTTGCGCCGATACACCTGCTCGTAAATAACATAGAATCAAACGTGTATCAGGTTACATCGTAATACACCCGGACTAGCAGGGAACAGGTCCTTTGAGCCCTGTGAAACGTGTACCTGGGACTGCCCATATTCTGCGCGCACTTTCATCAGGGACGAGATGCGGAATCATCATCGTTGATTATGAATACTATTAAATGGAAATAGATATAATCAAAATAATTTATAATTCTTAGAAATATTAATTTTTTGAATAATCCTCTCTTATTATGCATGTAAATTCTTAAGTATTATCAAAACAGCTATATCATACGGAAAAAAATAATCGTGATTGTATTACCAAGATATGTTTAATTAAGCAAATTTTGATAGAGATAAACAGAATTTTTGATTATTACCAATATTTGCGTTCAGAGAATCAAAACATTTAGATAAATTTTTGGTAAATGCATATATAATATCTAAGTTTATAGTCATTATAATTATAAGAAAAAAATGCTGTTAAATTAATGTGATACATATGGTTAAAGAAGTATTGATAGAACTATTATAAATAGAATTTCTGATTATCACAATTTCTGATTAATTAAATCGAAAATTAAATAATGTGATATTTTTATCAAAAATTTTGTTATTTTTTATCAGAATTCATGCAATCAAATTTATTTAATTATTTTAACTAAATAATCTTAAATTTGATTATCTAATATAATATAATAAATTAATTATAAAATAATAAATAATTATTTTAACCAAAATTATGATCAAACGTATTTCAACAAAGTTTGATTATTATATTCATTTCAGGTTAATTAAACTTATTTTTATTCAACACAATTAATCGATTCTTAAATGTCCCTTATGGCGATAATTGATAATTATCAACAATCAATAATTGATAATTACAATCGATATTTTATTTAATGATTGTTCTCTTTACACGAGACGAATATTTGTCGATCGACTGGCGAAGATAAAAATATGTTGATCAATTTATAACTTAGTAAGCGAGATTTTTGCGTCATGATTTCAACGTATGCCGAAAATAACCATGCAATCACGCGGCTACGTGGAATATTTATTCAAACAAGTATTAGAGCTAAGACGTTATCGACTGATACGATAACGGTCTTTTTTCTTTCCTACATACGCAGCACTGTATTTACCATTGCACTTTTATTTAATTTTAGTGCAACTATGTAGAGGAAGAACTTATCATATAACTTCGATATCAGGTGCTTCAATACGAGGAATATATAGACGTCACGTAATTGCCATAGATTGACAACACCGGGCCGGCTAAAGCGATACGCATTTTTATCAATAGTATCAATTGGTTTGTAATTTTTCTGCTTATCCCTCTGATCTAATGCTTATCGCAGCTAATCAACGTACATTAACAACATCTTCAACGTTATTAATTTTCAATTTATCGCGTCGCATATCGCAGTTAATAGAGACAGCTGTGTAAAAATTATATTATGTTCTCTCGACAGAATCTAACGCCTATTCACCTTGATCAATATTTTTTTTCTTTCTTATCGTGATTACCTGTATTATTAACGCAATTCCTAATGAATTTTATTGACAAGTAACTACACTGTTACGACAATATCATTATAAAAATGTAAGCAATAATAATATAAATTAATGATTCAAAACATGTGTTTCTTACCGATCTTTATAAATTCTTTGAAAACTAGAGTTAGTTTTTAGCAAAACACTTTCATAGAACACAACATGCGTCTATTATAATACCAACCAGCAACTATTAATTATATGTATTATCTCGCGATACTGGTGCGACTCAAGATTTTATCTGTACGTTGCGATTGTTGACGAAAGAGATACGTTACATACGACATGTGTATAGCCGTAAATCGCACGTTTATCAGAAACCGGTAATTCTGAATTGAAAGCAGAAACGTGTGGCGCGTGCACCGCGATTATTAATAAGCCCGCGTGTGTAACTTTGCACCTAATTAATAACGTCCAAAGACGAGGTGAAGAAGTATATATCATAAATAATAATTGACGCGAGCAACATTGGTTGAAATTACACTATCGATGTCTCGGCATGAAAATTATCGTTAAAGCGATTGATGGTGACTCAGTTATCTGTTAATGCTCGATACCGATTCTTAAATTCGGTCTTAGCATAGCTAGCACTCAAACAAAATTTACAAATACGCGTTGACAAGATAGCGGATCGTTAATCGTAATCAGTACCGATTAGTCATCGTCATGATGACGATGAGAACGTCGTAACATTTTCATAATAATCTATACAATATCTAAGTATTTTATACATTAACACAAGATTATTGTGCGTTATTTTTAGAAGCAATAAATAAAATATCAGATGATCATGTATCATTCCAGATGTTGAAAATAGCGTCATGAACAATAGTCTATTCTCGTGAAAAATACAAGCACACGTCGCGATTCTTCCATTTAAAATAAATTCACCCTCTGAACGTAAATTTAATCCCCCAAGTTCAACTGGCACGCGTTCCGTGCACAGAATAGCATGAACGAGATGCATTAATGCAAAATCCGGTCGTTTCAGATAAATCGTTTCTCGCGATTGAAGGGACCACATGACCCGATACAATGCTACGATGCACAATGTTTCCATGAAAAGCAACAATGCAACGCGGGGGCGTCGAGAATGCAACACAGATTGCACTGGCAGCTGACAAACATAACGTTTTCCACAAAATGCTTGATTCTTGCCGTTGTTTGTAGTGATATATGAACATATTAATCTACATTTAATCAGATAATTCTGATTGTTTAACATACGTCCGCGATTCAGTATTGATAATGGCAAACTGTTTAACTGTCGCGCAATATTCTCTGTTAATTGAGTGAACCGAGAAATTGCGATAAAGAGATACTTGCTTATATTGCGATAGAGAGATATTCGCTTATATTCGTCTTCATCGATATGCTATCACTTGCATTTAATAATGAAATAATTGTTTTTGAGAGAGACAAAAAAAGGAAAAAAGAGAGAAAAAAAATAATAAATAAAATTTAATCTACGTTTACTGAAAGAGACAATATCAATTGTTCAATTCTTATTAATATAACGATTATGTTATGCTGATTTATTAATGGTTGTTATTGTTGTTGTTATTGTTGGTTATTGTTGTTTTAAAAGTTTCCGGAAATAATTAATTGAAAGAATTAATGACATAAATGCATAAAAATTTTATAAATAGCTGTTATATAAATTTAAAATTAATAAACACGTAAGCGAAAAAAAGAGAATTAATGGAGTAATTTCTCCCTTTCCTTCTTTCATATATTAAGCTTCATAATCACAAATTAACGAATCATGGTGACTCTGAATATATATCTCAGACTCTAACGAAATGTGTAATTTAATTGACACTCACCCGAAGCACCTCGAAGAGGTCCCGTAGGACTGCCGCCGGTAGAGACACCCTCGTCTTCGCTGCTGCTAGTACTAGCTTCACTGGGACTATAGCTTCGCCTGCTAACGTCTCCCCTGGTGATTTTCTGACCGCTCGTTCCGTTGTTGTTGTCATGCATCCTACCCTGAAGTCTCTCGTGCATAGTCCTCACGCGCGAATGCAGCCTCTGCTGCTGCAAAGAGCCAACAGAGAAGTCGAGCGGCTGATCGATTTCCGATTGCACTTGCGGCTGATGCTTCTGCACCTGACCACATACCGATCCGGCCACCAGACTTTGCGGTTGAGAAACCTGTGCGATCGACGGTACTTGCTGTTGCTGCTGCTGTTCCTGTTGAATACTACTGGGCGGACTCCACCACTGATGCCCGCCTTGAATCGATCTCCAAGCTTCTATGGTGTTATTATTTGTGGGACTTGTCTGCTTCTGTTTCTGTGTCGCCTGCTGAGACTGTTGTTGTTGCTGCTGGGCCATGGCAACTTCGACCAAGTTGTTATTTTCCAGCAGACGCATACTGGGAGTTTGCGTCATCGATACTGGTAGAACGAAGGGGGACAGTCCCACCGACGGTGGGCTGGGTTCCTGACGTTGCCTGTGGGTAGTATGATGATGGTGCTGATGCTGCTGTTGTGGCTGACGATGATGTTGCTGCTGCTGCTGTTGCTGCTGCTGCTGCTGCTGCTGCTGCTGCTGCTGTTGATGTTGCGGAGAACTCACAGGCACGACCACCGGGTGCGGGAACTGCCGGACGGTTCGCGAGGCCTCCGCGACCCACCGGCGCACCGCCTCGCTGTCGAGACCCGCCAGCCCTGCGGACTTTGACTTCGACTGGCCTCCGGGCGATGATAAACCCTTGTCGGGTATCAAGCGGGGCAGCGCAAGGACCCCGGTGCCCGCCACCGCGACCCTGGGTCCCGAAACGCCCCCGTAGGCAGTCAACGCCGCGAGATCCAACGTGGTCACCTGCTGGTTTCTGCTCTCGACGAAGGAATCGCACCGAACCACACAGTGGGAGGTCGTTCGCTGCTAACTTAGCGGCTTGCGTCGACTATCATCGCTCGTAGAACGCTTTGAAGACGAAATACCGTCTCAAAAATACTGTACTTGAATTCAATTCAATCGATTAACTAAAAAACATCCACGATTGCTTGTTTCTAATGGTCTTAACACAGAAATCACACCTTAAGACCGAAAGACATTCACTGCGTGCTAGTCAACATAATTTCCTATGCGTGAGATCCAGTCAATGTCTTCGAGTTCTTGAAAACACAGTACTTTTAAGAATGCACTACACTCATTCAGAAGTCTCACAGTCACGTTCACGTTCTTGTGATAGCGATGTACTCCAGTTTAAGGTGTAACTATCCAATGCACGAATTGTTTACCGCATAAAATACCTAAGGCCTGATTATCGTTGTTATTTACAAGAACAATCTTTATCTTCATCACAAACGTATCATTATAATAGGTCTCTTGATCGCATCGCTTCTGTCAGATGACTATTAAAATATTAGCCGCAAAACACATAAAGCACCGGCACTAATGTCACTGGCTCAAACAGTCAATCGTTTTCACTGAAGTTCAATCCGAGTTGTCTTTACAGACGACACGTATTCATTTCAAACACTCGGATCAGCAAGAAGTCTTTACGGCAGTATAATTTGCAAGTGTCATTGATGCCAGAGATAAGAGCACTTGCTGATGAACTCACCAACGAACACTATCTCGCCAACATCATCAATGAACGAGATTTCAACTAGCTCAGCCAAGTCACTACACTAATTTACCACTCTTCGTCGTATCTTATTTATTAGATAATCACGTCATCCTAAATAACACGTGCGATGATTAGCGTCGATTTGTTACGACGCAGCGTATCAAATCGACCGATGACAATGCGGTTAAAGAGTGCCAATGACAGTAACTACCTGCGACCTATCAACAAGATGAGTCAGGTCAACCTGTCGACGCGTCCTTCTCGTTCGGCGTGATCAAAGACACACTTGGACGAGAGTTTACGCGACGCGCTACGACGGCGGTAGCTACGGCTGCGGCTGCGGCGGCGGCGGCTGGTGGTACAGCGGTCAGATGCTGTCGCGTGCATGTGTGCAGCTACACTAGAGGACTCATGTACGTTCGCTTGGCCGCCTACCGGCCACGGCGAACACGGTTGTAGAACGGAGTAACCAAAAGTGGGGGAGTTGTTAGGTCTCAGAGAAGGAAGAGGAGAAGCCGGGAGAGCAACAAGGAAAGAACATCAGCGGCCTCGAGCAACCAAGAGCGGGACAAAGAGAGCCGAGTATGGAACGAAAAGCGTGGCCGAGTCCAACACAGTCTGCATGATAGCCGAAGTGGGGGCAGTCGACGCGTCGGTGGGGAACGCCGCCTCCAATCGCATGAAAACGCGGATTGCACGCGGCTCCGCCCGGCAAGCCAGAGGCGAGTTCTCCGGCCGCGGAACTCGCGCGAACGCGAGCGCGCCTTTTTCATCTCGCGTACATCGGCTGCTGTTCGCAAAGTCGAAGAGAGAGAAAGGAAAGAGAAAGAAATAAGAGTGTGAGAGAGAGAAAGAGAGAGAGAACAAGCAAACGAATTTGCATATGCAACTCTTACAACCAATCGCCGAGCAACCTGCCCTACCCGTTGGAGATGATGACGATTAGACCTTGATACTTAAAGACCCGTTCCGTGACCAATGCTTAAGAATTAAACTCGGCTTGATTCCGAAGCTAGCCAATCCGGTGGCGAGTTGCACCGGACCGGTTCGATTCGCATGCTTCTTCGCGGTTTTCTCTAATGGGAACCAGACGAGACTGAGGGTAACCAAATGCGCTGAACGTGAAAATGCACCGTATGCGGTATATCCGTTTAAACATCTTGGAAATATCACGTGGACGCACACGATGTACAACCGCAGATAGTGTAAGATAGTGCGGTCAGCATGTACGTAAAGAAGAGTCGGAGATGGAATTAGTTAGAGGAGAATTCGCAAGAAGCCTCTCACGCTGGACCACCCACGCAAATTCCTGTTCTTTTCGACTACTGTGATTATTCGTCGGAAGTCAAGTGTTTTACAAAGTATTTTGCATATTTCAAATTAGATATCATATAAATGACCTTTCTCAAAGTAATTAGTTTAATACTTCAAATTCTAAAAATCAGTGTTCATTAAATTATTTCGTAAATAATTCTATGTATATGTGTGTGAATAAATTATTCTTAAGATTCAAAATAAAAAGAATCGATTATTTGATTTCATAATTACTTAACTAATATTTAAAAATATATTAAAAACTTGCATGAACTGATGAGCTGATGATAAATGTATTGAGATTTCTTCTTTAGAGATCTTTAGGATTGATATACCCGGGGATTGAGAGCTCGTAGCATTACGGTTCGATTGACACCGGTGAGATAGGTATGGCAGCAAGTGGGTACAGTTACAGGTTGAGATTGCAAGAAAGCGATCTACCAAACAATGTGATTATTATACATCATAAAAACGAACGTGATTATTGTGCTTACTGAATGTTTCTGTCACTGACGTAAGTTCCAGCAAATGAATACATACAGAATTTATATTGAAATCTAAAGTTCGTATTGCCATAATTTCTTTGGATAATTGAAAATAAATAAACCTATAATAGAAATGATATACTCTACTCTTCAAAATAATATAATATTATAATCGATAATACGCGTACATTATGCTTGATATATCCTTCGAATGATTTACTTTATCTATCACATTTTTCTGTAAATCAATAACAGAATATTTCAATCAGTTTTTTTCACAGATTTAATGCACTTTCTATTTACTTGAAATATTAATTGCAATTATAGAAGCGATAATATTATAAAAATGCGTCGCGGAAATATTGACGAGAAAGTGGAATAAACCTAGTTTAATAAACCTTTCTATCGGCCGCCATGTCGACTCGAGGGTACCTCTCACCTATCATATTTCCATACAAATCCATCCAGCCTCACCACTCCCAAGATTTGAATTCAGCATGCGCAGTGCCAGTGCAAAAAATAAGGCGCTTTAAACTGGCCCTTTTATTGGTCGCGAGAACCATAGCACTCCCCCTACCCACGCCTATCCCCTTCGCGTTGCACACACATAGGCGTCATTGCCTTTCTTCTTTTTCTTATCGCGCTATCATATTTCCATACAGCCGACATCCACCACTACCGCTATCGTCACTACTACTACGTCTCTTCCACCACTACCATTGTCGCTTCACTTCCACCCCTACCTTCCACTCGATACCTAGCTCGCCCAGATTTGAATCCGGCATGCGCAGTCCCGTGCAAAAAGGGCGCTTTAAAGAGGTTCTTATTGGCCATGGGAACGCTATCCCCCACTCTTTATCGCATGTACCACGTACCTCACATCACAAACGCAGCCTTCCTCTTATCGTGCTATCCTCCCCCTTTGCTCCCCAAAGTTTCGTCTTCCTCGTGCTTTTTCTCTCCTGCCAACTCTCTCGTTCTTTCGTCCTATTCCCCACCAACGGCTTCGTCCTTCGCTTCGCATGCCAGACCGGATACATAGGAAGGGGCAACCCCTACCTCGATTCCACCCTCGCATTCGTAGTGCAACAAGGACAGTAATGATAAGAGAACAAGGACGACGATAGTGAGGAAAACGAAAGAGAAAGAAGCGGAGAGGAGAGAGCGAACCGGTATTGATTTTAATGACGCCCCTACCGACACGAAGTCACGAGAGAGGCGCGAATAATACGTACGCGCTTTGATTCTAATAACCAGTTATTATAAATGCGTGCAAATAAAATTTTTCAGAAATTTATGGGTATATCTAGCTTAAAATGTTTAGTTTATATGTGTGTAATTATTAATAATGCTTGGCGAAATGCTAAAACAAAATGTTTGACGAGAAAACTTGCAAGAGCTCCAAGGAAGAAAGAAGAGAATTATTCTCGAAATATATTTGTAATGTCACAATAATGTTATGTCGATGACATATCTATTCTATAATGTCGCGTCGATTGTCTTTTATTATTAACATGAATTATTAAAGTACCGTGGCACGCCGGTCCGTTCCGGATTGGAAGGATCGCTCCCTGGGTGGAGGTTCCGTCTGGCGATGAAGGGTGAAAACACTTGCTGTGTAAAATCAAGAGGATCAAGTGGCATTACTGAAGGGTCGCATTCAAATGCCATAGGCGGGCCCCTAATCTGAATAAGGCAGCGTGAACCCTTTCCCTTTGCTACGAACCCTCTTTTTTATTCATCATGTACAAGTATTTGCATGACCCATCTACAGACAGCAGGTGTCAAGTTGCCCCTTTTTTATATTCAATACGAGAGTCTATATATGGAAATAGATAGATACCTGTCCGATAATGTGCACTTCACAATGGTGAAGGGTTGATTCTTGCCACCGATTCATCATTGACAGGTGGATCCATATAAACGCTAATTCACAGGTGATTTTTTTCCAAAATCATCAATTTCGCATCATTTCTTGTAAATTATTGAATTTTTATTTGAAAATCAATTTATTTTAATATAACATATGATGCACTTTATAATCAAAGTATATATATATATATATATATATATTATACTCCCGCCCCCCCTCACAAAATTGTGTTTATAACTTTTATAACGTAACTTGGCAGG